ATGGCTTTGGGTATCTTATAACAAGATCCCCATACAGTCCATATTCTATCTACTTAAGGGGGACTATAGGGTCGGGAGTCAAGGTGAAAGGTGCAGACAGGATTCGGCACAAGTATAGAGAGCCACAACCATGGGATGCAAGAGCCAGTTTTGGAATCCCTCTGCAACAAAAAAAACCCAGAGTGTATACTGGAGGATACTGCAGGGGTGGCTATGGTTTCCCAGCCGGATGCATGACCTCATTTTTGCCTTGGCATTTTTTTCTTCGAAGTCATCTTGACTTCCCTAGCACTAGCGTTATCAATTATCAATGTCCCGCCTGGCCATCGCTCGCGCAGCCTTAGAAGCCAGGGCATGTTTGGGGTTGAGAAGACTATATTTTACCATATTATACTGGAATAGTTAATAGTTTATATTATACTATTCTATATACTATATCTTACTATATTGTACTATATAGTAGGAAATGAGGTTTCGGGCCCAGAGATTGGCATCAGGATTGCCCTCGCGCAAACGGAAGATGAACTTGCAATAAAGTTCCACCCAATACCTTCGGCTGTGTGTAAAAGGGGCCTCCGTGAAAATCGCGAAACCCAAAACCCTATAGTCCCCCTCAAGTAGATAGTAGGGGTCTTATGAACCACCCAAGACCATATTCGATCTACTTAAGGGGGACTATGCCCCTAAACCCTAAGCCCCAAATTCTATTTTCTTAAGGGGGCATATAAAACCTCAGGCTTCCACAGGAGGAAACCATGGAGCCCTTTGCAGAAAAGACTGGGGAAGGCCACCTATGGATTCGTCTTCATGGGGAATGGATCCCAAAGGTAGGCCACAATGGTATAATCCCTATTTGCGGATTTCATTCCTTCATTCCCTACTATATAGTATAATATGGTAACATCTAATTTAAAATTGTATAATATAAGCTTATACAATAATACATGGTCTGGGGATCTCAGCTTCCGAAGGGAGCGCCGGGAGCGCCGGGCGCGCCCAGCATGTTCAAAGAAACACTGCTTTGTACCAGTATACATACTGAAGTCCCTGAACCCTGTATAGTCCCTCCCTATATACCCTATATCCCTTAATGTCCCAAGAAGTTTCGCGCTGGGCTTGAGAAGTTTGTCGCGTAGGAAAATGAGAACCGGTAGGAGATCACCGGGGGTTAGTCCCCCTTAAGTATATAGAATATGGGAGCATATAGGGGATCTTACTATAATACACCCAAAACTATATTCCCTAGTAGCTTCCATTTTGTTTTCCATTATCCCGATATTACCCTATTATGTAATATACCCAAAGCCACATTCTATCTGCTTAAGGGGGACTATACCCCTAAACCCTAAAACCTAAACCCTATATTCTATCTACTGAAGGGGGACTATAAGCCAACATGATAGTTTGGGGCTTTAGGGCTTGCATGGGGTAGACGCGGATGTATGAGGGTGTATGGTATAGGGTGTGGACTTGGGCTTGGGGCCCAGGAGCTGCGCTCTCCAGGCAGCAGTGTCATGGCTTAGATCACAGGCAAGGAATTTGAAGGGTTTAGGGTAAAAGGGGGTTTAGGATTTAGGGTTTACGGTTTCGACTCATCAATTTGAGAAACCCCTACACAATCCATTGAAAAAATTCGTGATGCACCCACCACAACAACTGACCAAAAGCAGCATATGATATTCACATTGGGGTCTCTCGATTACCCTACCGTCTCTCTGGTAATGGGTGTGGGCACGATCTTTTGGATCTACTTCTTCAGCAAGCAGGATGAAACCTAGGACTGGAAAGAACCAACTTTCTTAGTATAACCTGCTTTCTGAAGACCCTAGGATCCACAACAAAGGGAACGGGAACCTTGGCAAGCATATTACGGAGCACCGGTGTTATCTACAACGTAATTATAGGGGGACGTAGGTTCCAACCTGAGTACACCTCTACCTACAACCCCTATAATCACCATATAGATCCAGTGTCCGCGTCATTTTCCTTGCTGTTCCTTTCGATGTTCCACTATTTGGGGTAATATCCTTGTGCCCTCAAATATGACCCTGTATAAACTCTGTACAACTAGGGGAACTTGCAAATGGGGTACCCTTACATGAGGCCTGTGTAACGTTCATGTAGGGAGAATATAGGAGTAAATGAGGGCTATACCGGGGGAAACTACGCACCTGAGACATTTCCCTGTATCCTTAAACCCTAAACCTTAAACCCTGAGCCCTAAACCTTAAACTCTGAGCCCTACACCCTAAACCCTGAACCATAAGCCCTGAATCCTGAACCTGAATCCCTGAACCCCATCACCCACATGACCATCCGAGGCCAGCAACACAGTGCGCGCCAGGCCCAAGAATGGTTGCGGCTATAGCTTCGGAGGCTTAGGGTTTGAGGTTTAGGGTTCAGGGTTTAGGGTTTAGGGTTTAGGGTCAGGGTACTGGGCTCAGGGTTTAGGGTTTAGGCTTCAGGGATGGAACCCCAGTGGACCTTGATAGGGGCTTGATGCGGCACACAGGGATATAGGAGGATGTACAGGTGTAGCGAGATGGGAGTCGTGGGCACGATGAGGCAAGGATTTTACAATCATGATGGAACTGCACTTCACACCTCAGGGGATTTCAACCCTCACGAAAACTAATATGGCTAGTCAAAACCAGAGTATGCGACATGGCACACACAAAGGCTGCGCAGCAGCTACACTGCATTCATATGATCTATATAGGACAGATTCTCTTGAAAATCCGGCGAGGCCCCTAGACCCTAGACCGTGAGGAAGTCGCGAGTGCCTGTCTTCTCTTCGACTGTCTTCTCTCTCAGGCGATTCGCTTCCAGTCGACCTGATTTTATTGATGATTTTTCCTACACTTTGTGATTCGGATGCTGATGACACTTTGTGCGCAGCTCAAGAAGGAAGCTCTAAATCGAGCCGAAACTCCTACATGATGGGCAGGAGAGAGCAAATCAAATTGAGCGGTACTCACAATATTACATTTACTGCCATGTTTGGCTGCAGCGTGCTTCTTCAAACCTTTCACACAGCAGGCGGTGGGGACGCAAACTTTTGTCGCACGTGTCCGTAGGCTTTCTTGGACTCGAGATCTAACGCTGAATATTGTAGGATACATTATGCTTTCTTCCCTCCTCAACCTGTCTCTTCCCACTCGTGCCCATGCTGGAGGATTTGACCTTTGCCTGCCCATTCCGGTACCTTAAACAGCTTCAAACAGAAGTATCGCATGGTCATCACTAAAGCTTCCCCGAGTCTCAGCTGCAACAAAATAACAGACTCGGGTTCAAGCTACACTTCGCCGGATGCAGCACGACTTCGACAGTTGAAGCAATGTGATCTAGGCTGGCAGGAGGAGAAAAAATACATACCCAGCACCTTCCACGTCTGTATCCTCCCTTTGCAAGCACGAATTTGAGCTGGCAAAGTGCCTATATAGATGACACTCCAAGAGTGCTCCTAGGACTTGCACACACGACTCCACGAAAGTTCTTTAGGGCGGGCCACACCAATGAATCAGAATGAGAATGCGAGCAAGATCCCCGCAAGGACTCGGTACCCCTCCCCCAAACTAACGTTGGATCGCATAAGGACCTCAATTTGGAAAGCACACTGATCACTAGTCTGTACGAGGCTCAAATAACGGTTCCATTTAGTGCTGGCAAGGGGAGAGCTTGTTGTCATAGCTAGACGCAGATGCCAGCAGCCCCTATCATCTCCACTAGATTCTTACTACATCATACGCAACCTTACATTTTTGTAGTCACAGAATAATTCCTCCGTGAAAACGCTCTCTAACCACCCGAAAAAAGAAAAAAAAAATGCCTGCTGCGTAATCAAGGATCTGACCCGTATACTTGCCCCATGCCTATGCGCGTGCAAAAGCCTGTGCGCTTCAAGAACAGAACACCGCCAGGTGATCTGCGTCAGTGACACATCAAAACCAGACCCTCAGATGACTCCCCGGCGCTTTTCTGGGTTTATGGTGTTATCCCTTTACTATTCACACAATTGCAGTTTACCACTGCCTTGCAGGATTCTGGCAACTTAACTGTTGCGGTGATTGCCGTCCCTGTTAGGACTAACATGCTAGTCTGACTGGTATTTGAAGCACTATGAATTGGTCCTCTTGTAAAACAATGGATGTTAAGGGTTACCCCAAAGTGCCACCTGCTATTGGTTCCTTCTCTCGAAGACCCAATAGAATACTTTCATCCCCAAACCCAGAAGCCTGCGAGTAAGGCTACACCACCAAAGCTGTAGTGACGTCACATTGGGGTTATATCGGAATTGTAATCTTGTGTTTTGATATTTCCTCCAACAAGGCATAATCGAATGAACAAGAAACAAAGAGATGAAATGAACAACTTGAGCGGTTGTCAAAATTATGGTCCATTTTTGAGATTACAATAGCTCGGGAATAAGGTTTAGGGTTTTGGGTTTGGGGAACTGATTTTCAAGTAGCGCATCTGTAAAAACTCATCCTGATTCATCTTTCTATGCGAAATCGGCGTCAACCAAACCAACCTCAAACCAAGGTCCTCTACTGATATTAAGACCTCAAGCCTACACACAGAATTCTAAATCCTGAGTCCTAAGCTTTGACTCCTATACAAAGAAAAATCTACGTATCCCTAGTAAAAATGTGTCCCCAGCCTCCCAAAGTCCAGCCAGGGGTTCATATGTCTGACTTAGCCCGTCTGCTGCTGCTTCACCCACACGTCTACCATGATGGCTTGGCCATTGAGCAAGCTCCTTCCGACCACTTGAGAGCTGGGGGTTAATCGTGGTTTCTCAAGAATCCTGATTAATTTCATGGTGCCCTCGCACGAAGAATCATGTGTGAGAAAGGCCCCGAAGCTTGTGAGACGCCATTTCATGAGTTAGGGGTTCGCATAGGAAGAGAGGGCGAAAATGTCAGCCCCAGAAGCGAGTGTTTGTAGGGAAGTAGTTGAAGAAAAAGGCAGTGACCGCTCACGCCAGGTCCACTGCTCTAGCCAAGGAAGCTCAACTGCATCAACTCTGACCACAGTAACCTCACTACTCCGAGATCCACTGTTGGAGTGTAGGGTTTTGGGCTTGGGGTGTAGGGTTTAAGGGTTTAGACTTATCCCCTCCTCCCTTCCCTGCGGGTCCCGTTGAGCATGGTGATGGCATTGGCGGCTTCCTCTGCGGTGGAGAAGGAGACACCGCCCGTGCCGGAACCCTTGCCGCTGAAGCACTCGACCCAAGTGGTCTTGCCAGCCTCCCAAGTGAATGGCTTTCTGGACTCGGTCTTTATGACGGTGCCCGAAATTTGGAGACCCCAAATCTCAATAACCCTATCGCCGACAGCCACCGATGCACATGCCCCTGATGCAAGCCCTAATGGGCCGTGCAGTCGATGCCTCAATGCTTTTCTGATATTTTCTGTCCGGAATTTCAAAGATTGCTTGTCTCACTCTGCCAACCAACGAAATTTCTCCAAATGCTTCTGCACGACAAGGCCCACTGGAAACCAGAAACAGACAAAATATGGATGACATTTTGTTCGTTTCCTTCTGACTGATGTTGATTTGTCCTGCCAGCTCCGAAGCAAAGCTTCAACTGTGGGCTCAGCCCCTAAGCCCCTAAACCCAAGACCCGTGAAATAGCCATGGCGCGGCTGGCAGCCCAGCGTTTCAGGACATGACTTTCTACAGGGAGACCCAGAAAACGTTATATGAAGTTCAGACCTTAAAGCAGAAACGGCCGAACATGGATTCGAAGCAGGCCTCAACCACCCCATATGCCATGACGATGCATGGCTGCGCATCCTGTTATAGAGCCGGCCTTCCCATTCCGGGGCATTCAACAGTCGCCATGCGGGAGTTATTCAAAAATCTGATTTCGGAGCTTTACTGCCAATCTCACTCCAAAGCACCCGTGCAATCCCTAGCATGGGTCCCTAATTCAGGGGTGCCTACACATGTAGTTTATACTTCCAGCATTAAAGGCCCCCTAGAAACCACCCTCAAAACCTCTCGCCCACCTGGTTCATGTGATCCTGAAGCGCCTTCCAGGTTGTACCCTCTGCCAGGTTTCCAATCCAGCCTCAGCTCAGGGCTTTCCTAAGATATTGGAGAAGAAAATGGAAACTAGCACTAGTAGTAGTAGTAGTAGTAATAATAATAATAATACTAATAATAGTAATACTAATGGTAGTATTAAGGAACAAAATAATGATAAGGTATACATTGGGGGTCATATAGGAGTTATGGAGAATCAAATGGTAAAGAAATGGAAAATGAAATGGAAGCTTTAACTGAGGGTAAAGAGTTTAGGGGTATTACACATTGTACCCCAACAATGCAGAAAACACGAAATTGGAAATGAGATGGAACCTGGACTGATACAAAGGTTTTATGTTTACTTCCTGCAGTCAAAAGGGGTGTGGGGGAATTGCATAGAGGAACTTGTGCAAGGGACTGCCTCTCCCTCTTAAGCACAGGGAAGTTTAAGGGGCCAAAGGCATCTGCAGTTTAAGGACCGGGGTCTTGGACGGCTACTAAGCTAGAAAGCGTGGTTAGAACAGAACCCAACAATGGCTTCAATAAGTCTAGAAATTATCCTCATGAAGCTATATGAAAAGATGCCATGCCAATCCAGGTAAGGTTTGAGCACCTGGGGGTTTATAGGAGTACTGCTTGACATTTTAGGCTTGGGTCACGGAGCTGTTCAGGGCTTCGCAATGTGGATTGAAGGAGAATGCATTTAGTGCTGGCTACAGCATTTGCTGAGATGCGCGGACTTCTGCTTGAGTATGCGCGGCCGATGAAGCCCTCTGCACAAAAGGGTACCAAGTCGCTGAAAATCTGCAAATCGATTACAACTGGGGTTGCACAGGATTTGTTCATCGACAGTGCTCGATACAGAGGTAAAGGCGAAGGCACTGCATTATTATGCCATTGCGTGCAGCACGGAGTCATACAGCTGAGTCTATGCATCCTGCAGAACCCTATGTTGATACCTTGGAAGTTTGATATGTTGGAGTTATATAGAGCTTATACAGGGGTTATATTGGGGTAATGGAGACGAAAATGGAAACACTGTTTAGGGTTTAGGGTTTAGGGTCTAGCATTTTGAGGCGTATGAACAATAAGCAGTATGTAATGATGGCATGACATAGCATAGGCATGATACAACCGTGGGGCCCGCAACTTAAAACTGCCGGCATTACCTGATGCTTCTGCTATCCTCAAGACTACGGCAGAGCTCTCCTTCCTTCAGCAGCGATCGTTTCCGCAAATTATGGGGTCCAAACAAGAATCCCCTAGAGCAGTAAAGCTAATCGGAGATAGCTCCATTTTCCCAACTTTGCTTGGGGATCCTCTGCAACCCCTCTGCTCCCAAGCCCAGCAGCATTTCAAGGCTGGGTCAACCTTTAGCCCCTGCCATGCAAAGTGAGCGGGTTATACAGGGTTCAGGGTTTAGGGTCTAGGGTTTAGGGTTTAGGTAGTGTACAGGACTTGTAGAGGGGATGCGTTCGGAGATATAGGGATTCAATTACCAAGCCTCGGGAAGAGCGGGGAAGGGAATGCAAGGACCATTATGACAACAGGATTGTCGTAGGAAGCTTAGGGAGCTGTCAACATTTAGGTCCTTCATGGCTGCCCTACTATATTCTTTGGGTACTGCTCCCACCCAGTAACAGTCTATATTAGGGGTCCTATTAAGGGCTATACATAACCATATTATACATATTATCCAACTGTTACTGGCTGGGGGCAGTACCCAACATATTCTTCAGGAGACCCCAAAATTGACCTCAGTTTTGACAATTTAGGATTCCGCCCTGCTCCGGATTACAGGCACAAGGTGTGGGATCTAGTGTAAAACCTTGAGCTTGTGTGGAGGTTTCTGAAAATGGGGGTTTCTTCGAATGCACTGTGGACATATAATAGGCATTATAGGGTCCCTATCTGTGATTCTGTAGGAACTTTAGGATTTACTTTCAAATTACAAACCCCCATAAACCCTTTCAACCATTCCTAGAAGCCCACATGAGCCTTTACAGACCCCTACATGTCCATGTAAGCCCCGTTAGGGCCAAGGTTGAGAGTTTGCTTCAAGGGCTTGCAACCGGGTTTTGGGATCTGTTTGCTATATAGACTTTAGGGTCTTGGGCTTTGGGTTCTGGGCTGAGGGTTTGAAAGGCTTCTGGCTTGGATCCAGGGCTTTGAGTTTGGCAGGTGATGCTTTGCAAAGCCAAGATTGGCGTTTCTTGCCGGCAAGGGCTCCTTCTAGCCACGTCGTCGTTCTTTTCTGTACTTGCACATATTCGTGGCACCCCAACTTTGTCGAAGCTCCAGAGAGGTCGTGGGGAATCCGTCAGAAGAGCGCAATTTGAACCCGACTCTCTTGGATCCATGTGGATAGTCCCAACTTTGACAGTACATCATGCAGGTTGGGATGAAAGCACCTGTCTCAGTTGTTGGTGCTTGCTGCTATTTCTGTTGTCCTTATCAGGTTTGGGCAGTCATTTTGTGTTTTTTTGTTGGCCGTCTGGGCCTCAACCTTAAAGTGCAAAATTTGGTCACTGCTGGCGATTGCATATGAGCAGCACTGGGAGCTCAAGCGATTAGGAGGTCCACGCGAATTATGCTGGGTCATCTAAGGTTTTGGTTTTGGGTCTTTTTAATGTCGTTAGCCTGATCAAACATCCTTCTTATATCATCACGGAAAGCAGAGGGTAACCAGCGAGTTTTTGGGCTGAAACAAAAATACCTAGTATAGTTCTCCCTGAACCTGAACATGCACTGTGAAAGCAAGTGGCTCACATCAATGGAACGATAATTCTTGGAAGAAACTTGCAAAAAGAAAACGCCACTCAAACTGATGCCTACTACGTCAACGGCCGGCCTTGCCACCGCCCTTGCCCTTGCCCCATTTCATGAACCTTTGTCTGCATACGCAAATGCTCCACAAGGCAAAACAAGCACAAGCCAAAAAATGCGCTTGCGGAAACAACTCCTGACAGTTAGTCGCAACTGAGCTGCATAGGCTGCCATGGAGACCAGCCGCCACCACCGCCGCCGAACTTGCCTTTACCGCCCCATCCACCTCCCCAGCCCATGCTGATGATGCCTGCCAGGGCAAAACAAGTTGAGCCAACATGCATGACCGGTTTTCAATTGCGTGCGCAAAACGAGATTCAATCCTACTGTGGGCTCCTAATATGGGCCCCTACCTGTATCCTGGATCCTAGATATGGGCTCTTTAGTTGGATCTGCGGGGCTTTACGCGGTACATGTTAGGTAGATGAGGACCCCACGGGCATAATCCAACCTTGTCTACCCTAAATCGTATGCCCTGAGCTTGTCAGACTCGATGAATGTTACCTGTATGCTCTCACATAGTCCGTTTTAACTGATAAATAACTCCTGTATAAGCCCTATATACACCCGTAAAAACACTATATAATCTAATATAATCCGCTCCTCGAAAGCCGGCCTTCTTAAATGTTGGGCGGGCAAGAAATCTTGGGCCACCAAGGCTGACAGAATTCATCATGCAGCGAATGCATCACAAAAGCCCAAGTAGGAAACTTTGACGGTGAAGGTTCCCATTAAATGGGATATGGAGCTTTTATACCAAAAATATGTCAGGTTTGGGCTTCAGGTTCAAGGGTACAATTGCAATAATGGACCATCAAATGGAAAAGCCAAACCTGCACACCCTGTTTTGTGTATGCGACCTGCTTTGAACAATTCACAAATCCAACTCGCCAACCGCACAATTCCTGCCCAATGCTTCAGTCAAGGAAGTCATGCAGGACGCCAATATGCTTTGAAGCACTTTGCTGAATTCCATTTTGAAAAAAAGTTCCTCCCTCCGTTTCGTCAATCTGCGGAATATGAAAACGGGTGGTCAAGACAAAAATCATGCAACGAAATGATCTTTAATCATTATTGGATAATTTCAGAGGTGGTGCACCAACGTCAAAATGCCTGGAACTTACCCGATGTCATGCAACTAAATTGTACCTACCATGGAAAACAGTAATATATGCGCACATTAACCAAAATGGATGCTCGAAGTCATCAACGCCAGCTTCGTGCTTTCAACGATAAATACAACGTGACAATGTTAAAGGTACCGTCGTGGCTAGCTACCGCGCAGATTCAGCACGTCGCACTCGGGACGTGTAAATAAAAAATGCGTTTCATGATGGTTTTGAGCGCATGTCCAAAAAGTGGAGGTGAAAGGCAAGAGCCAAATTTAGTGGCATTTCCACCATTCCTCTTGTCTTCCACAGTGGATTCTTGTTTGTTGTCACGTGTTTGACCCATTGCTGCGAATCCGCATGTGCATGCGTTGCAATGCGATTGTTATTCCACAATTTATGCTCAAGTTTCGATATATGAAAAAACAAGTACAATTTAGAAAGCGGTGACCCCGCCAAACCCCCTAAATTTACGAAATTCGAAAACCGGAAAGCTGCTGGCTGAGTCATTCAGGTTGATGAAATTCCAGTTTTTTGTTCATGTTTCCTGCTATGCAGCCATCCACTCCTGTCAAGCAGCGGAAATACGCGAATTTCATGACACATCATACTGCTGGGGGTAGCTACCAAAACCAAGGGGCAGTGAACAAAAACACATGGACCAAAACGCAGAGGTTGATCAAGCCCACCCTCAGCGACTCAGCGGACTGCCCTGGAGCCTAGGCAATGAGAAGGATGGCGGGAACACAAAAACAAATGACAAGTTTGAAGACATAAGAAGCTGTGAATTTCGAAAATCACTTCTGCGTGCCAGCAATCTAGTACAAAACGAACAAGACATGACAACACACTGGCCAAAATCATGTTTCGTGACGAACAAAATTCAGTTTCACACGTGGCCGCGCGCCGGAAGCATGATGCCGCACACAAATGAAAGCTGTCCAGGACAAGTGCTGATGGTTCCCGTCACACCTACGGCTCAATGACTTACAAAAACCAAACGTGGCCTTAAACGTAGTAAGCTTAACCCATTTTATCCTTATGATACTATGAGACCCATACACGAAGTTATGGACCACATTGTCACATAAAGCGAACCATGTCAAAGAATCAGGCAAGTCTTGCGCAAGGATGTCCGCAACCAGTCAGAAAAGGGAGTTGGGGGGATTTTCAGAATTGATCAGGCTGCCTCGCAGTGCAAGTATCCAGATTGACAAAACGTTGGTTGCATACACTGAGTGAACCCAGACAGCCAGCCCGGCCGGCTGCTCATCGGACTTCAGAAATGAAGACTGTATGTGAACCAACTCTGAAGAAGGGGCCTTTAACGAGCCCATGACGCGGTTGACTTTTGACTTTGAATCGCTGTCAGGTTGTCCAGCTTAGCGTCAACGAGCAACACAGTTTCATCCCGACCAATCTGTGTTGGTTCACTACATACCTCGGCTTCAGGAGGCATCCCGCCGGCCCGAAGACCCCGCGCGGGATAGCACAGAGTTTGCACCCCGGTCTGCAAACTCTGCAAGGGACTACGACAAGAAGTCAATGAAAACCCATAGCACGAATAGCAACGATCAGCAGCGGACTGAGACACAAGCGGGACTCCGCAAGCTGAAGTAGCGCCTTGACTAAAACCAACATAACCAGCATACGGCCGTCTAACAATAGGTATGACACCTTTGCAAGTCCCTAATGACATCCGGCGTCAAGAGCTGAGTCATCCCAAGTAGAGACCACCAGGGAAAAAAGGAACATTAACATGATATGAAGCCACCCTATGGCGCAGCTCCATCTGCATCTCGGCATTTAGCATCTACAGACATCCAATCGACTAGCCTATCGTCTCGCTAACGCTGCTGCTTTCACTCAGAAATTCGAAGAAGCCTGGCTCGGAGTCAACATACCCAGTGAGAAAAAACAAACAAGAACTCTAGGAGTTGCGAGTCCTCCCGCTTCAAGAGATTGATACGCTTCACCGCAAAAGCCACCAAAATTAAGCGATCCCCATGCCAGAATTGCACGCCATGTAGAATACCTTATCTCTCAAACGGGACCGGCAAAATTTTCAATCGAAGTATATATATATATATGTTAGTTGACCTTCATCGATGAAACAAGATATGTGTATATAAGAAAATCTTGTCAATCAACTCAGCACTCTCTTAGTCCAGAAGGGGCGTCGACCTCCAGACGTACTGCATGCTTGTCTTGTGTCCTCAGCAAATCTTGGCATCATTGGAAAAGTTCAGCTTTAGACCCTAGCACAAAAGGTAGTCTGGATTTGAAATGAGCAGGCTCGAAACGTCTGACTAAAGTAGCTTCTCTCACAAGTCTGGCCTGAGTCTTCCGCCTGATTAGGCGGAGACTCGAAAAATCTCGTTGCAACTTCTGAGGCAGGAGCTGTTCAAAGCATGGAGAAATTACGGTCGCCACTAAAAGCCCTTATGCTACACGCAATTCTTGAAAGCTTCAGCTTGATCAATCTTTGACAATTTCTGACTCAGCTTCTGAGCTCATGACAGCGCGACGCAAAAAGCCTAATAGATGTTGCGTTGCTCAAGTAGGCGCTCCAGCGCTTCAACGCGAGGGGAGACGCACGCCTTGGATATGGCCTGGTGCTCAAGCCTAGCTTCCAGCGTCGCCATCCACTTGGGATTCAAGAAGTTTGTTAGATTCTTCCAAATTGGTAACCCGATCTAGCAACTGTTCTTTTGTTGCCGGCAAGTGAAGCAAGCGACGTTCCAAGCTGGTGACGCTAGCGTCCAAGGAGCATCGTTGCTCGTGCAGATTCTCAAAACGTTTGGCTGTTTTGGTTCCATTCCTGGAATAGAAGAACATTTAAAGGAAAGCTAATCAAGTGTTTTAAAGCGTGTTGCCAGAACGCTCACGAATGCATTCAATCACTCAGGAAAGAACTGCATGACCTCGCACCACAACGCAAGCAAACCAATGCACAGAGGGACATGGCTCAATCACTTGAAAGTTGCCTTCTCTTTTTTCCACGCGGGGGCAAAAACGCCGATCACATGAGGGGTCTTTCAGGGAAAGGGCGAACACAGCCCCAGAGGCAAAAGCAGCCTCTGCGAGTTATTTCCCTCCCCCCCAATCGGCCTTATCAAAAACCGATTGGACACAGTGAAACAACCCAAGGTGTGGGTGGGCGAGTGAAAAATTTTTCAGTGGCTACCTCAGCCACAACTTGAGCACAATCACGCGGAGATGGATTATGCTTCCTATAAACACAAACACAAGACGTGTCAAGCAAAGAAGTCAAAATCAATAAAACGTTGTTTAACGAAAGACTGAAAACAAGTAAGACTTCGTTTGACGGGAACAGCGAGTTCACCGCAGGCTAAACACAGCCTGGGACTTCTGAAATGGAAATTCGCTACGCTATAGTCTCCGCCAAAAAAACAAGTAAACATTTGCGACGCTAGCTCCGCGGTCCGTTTGCTTGTTTTGCTTCCGAACAGAAGAACATTTGAAAAGAAAGCTAATCAAGTGTTTTAAAGCGTGTTGCAAAACGCTCACGAATGCACTCAATCGCTCAGGAAAGAACTGCATGACCTCGCACCACAACGCAAGCAAACCAATGCACAGAGAGACATGGCTCACTCACTTGAAAGTTGCATTCTCTTTTTTCACGCGGAGGCAAAAACTCTTGTCACATCAGGGATCTTTCAGAGAAAGGGCAAAAACCGCCCAAGAGGCAAAAAAAAACAGCCTCTGCGAGTTATTCCCCCGTTCTTCGGATCTGCAACGGCCCTTACCATATCTGCAACGGCTTGCGCGAGGCTGGCCTTAAGGATTGGTCGTCATAGCCTGCGGAAGGCCGGATAGCTGGATAAGACTAGCAAAAACAAAATATCGAGGCAGTCATTGGAACCACAAACCGGCAACTTCTGTGACACTTTTACCACATGAAACATTTTTTGATATCTTACACCCCACAGCTGGGCGAACAAAACCCAGCAACAAGAATTGCAAGGCAACACTGCCCAAGTTTAAGCCTGTCTGGTCATTACGCAAAGCGATCAATCCCAGCATGTGAAGACCTTCTATTAAGGAAGATGCTCTCAGCTTGTAACATTCAAACCGGATTCACATTTGGAAAGTATTTGAATAAAGCG